AGCCAGAGCATGAATTGCCTCGCCTGTTCAATGCTCATTCACAGGAATTCAAAGACTGAGGAGCACACCAGGCTCATGAGCATGCCCTGGCCGTTCTCAGGTTCTCTGGGTGCCCTTTCACTGCAAACACTGCCAGAAGGTGTCCCACGCAATGACATGCCAGGGTGACCCCTCCCACTGGAGATTAAGACGCCTGCATACTCCCTGCTCACCTTTCCTGTGCTGTCCAAGTGATCACAGCTGCCCCACGTTGGGAACAAGACCGCTCCACAGCCCTCTCCTGATCAGAGAAGACTTTACATCTCAAGCCATGAGCCCTTAGACCCCAGGAACATGTTCCAAGGCCCTGCACAATAACCCCTTCTCAGTGAAGCCCTCTGGAATTGAGCTGCCTTTAGGAGGTAAGAACACTGCAGGCTTCAGCACAAACATGGCCCACGCCCAAGGCTGTTCTGAGCTGGAGGCAGCTCCTATAGTGGGAAGGCAGCCGCCCCTGGAAAACAGTGCCCCTTGGGGCCTGCTGTGCTCACTCCCAGGCCCCCACCTCTTAACAGCTGTTCCACCTGGCTAGGGCCTTCAGAGGAAGGGAAGCTGCAGGGAGTGGCACTAAGATGGGCCTAGACCCTGGGGAAGCAATTGGCTTCTTCCTGTTTATGCTCAGCTCAAAGCTGGAAGCTTTGCAGCCAGGTTCCCTGAGCTGGGACCTGCCACCTACATGCATCTGCAGGGTGTGAGGGGGCAGGCAGTCAATAGCTTTTCCCACTCCCAGCCTCACCACAGGAGGCTCAGAAACCAGGGGGAGGCATCCATGCCCAGCTCCCAAACCATTCCTTCTCCTGAAGACCACGGTCGGTGTTGGTGCTACCATGAGCCACAGGATTCAGGACCAAGGGCTTCCTGGCCTCTGATCTTCCTGTCCCCCACAGCTTCTGAGGAAGGTCCCTACAAGGCCCCTTCCCCACCCTGCTCAGACCACTGCTCCCCACTCCTCCCTACAGAAACCCTGGGCTGAGGACCTGGCAGGCAGCCTCCCCATCTCCTGCACCCTCCTGCAAGAGCTCTGGCCCCACTCTCATAGCCTTCTTTACTTCCTTCAGGCAAGAGCTCCACCAAGTCCACTCCCCAGATCACCTTCCAGTAACATACACAAAGCTGTCATCCCCACTCCAGGATCAGCACCTCTGAGGGCAGGAACTTTCTCTTCCACTCACTGCTGTGGCTGAGTGTGCGAAGCACAAGCCCCTCTCCCTGGGCTTGGCTCCTTGAGCCCCTGACAACAACAGGAGTCCCAGATATGCCTGCCCCTCAACAGCCAGGTGCTGGTTGTGTGGATGAGACATGGGCCACCAGAAGCCCAGCCCTGGGGTGGACAGTCCCAAATCTGTGGTCAGCATCAGACCTTCCCAGGGTACAAGCAGCTGCTCTCCTGCCTTCCTGTGGAGAATGTGTCCCCATCATCCATCCCAGGAAAGCCAGCCAGAGTCACTTGTCTCCTCCCTGGGAGTGACGCCTCTAATCAATTTCCCCCTTGGTCTTCATGCTGGGCATGCATCCTTCCCGAGGAGCTAGGTAGAGGAAGCCAGCAGACAGGACTGGACTCCCACATGCAGAGAGAATTTGTCATTCCACCCCCTAGGCGTCCTCTGGATGAAGCCAAGATGGGCAACATGCACACATGTGTGGGTGTACCTGTACATCTGCTCTATGTACATGTGTGCACATCTATGCCTTTGTGAAGACCTGAATCACAGCTCACTCAGTGGCAGGTGGAAGGTAACTGCCATACCTACATGGGATGACAGTAAAAATAAAGCCCAGTGGTGAACTTGCCTGTCACTTGACTGGCTGTCCCAGTATTCTCCCTGTCCTTGTCCCCAGCCCTGGGGGACAGTGTGGCTGGGCACAAACGTGGGACTGCTTTGCCTCCTGGTCCCTGCAAGAACCTCTCACACAACAGCTGCCCTCAACACCCAAATGCACAGCACTCAACCCACATTCTCATTCTTGTCCCCACACCCTGACACGCCCAGGTCTCACCACTGCACCCCACGAGCTGCCCGAGCTCCCTCCCAGGCCTCTCCTCACACCCCAAAGGGCTGGCTTGAAAAGGCCAGTTCATTTCTGAGAATGGAAATTGTCTCACAGAATAAAGCTCTCCAGCATCTGGGACAAAGCCCAGCCCACAGGCAGAACAAAGCTGCTCTCTGAGCCTGAGGCTGATGGACCCAGGCATGGAGCTGCAGCAGGCATCAGTGAGCCTCTTCTGGAGGAGTGGAATGGTGCCTGTAGACCCCGCACATGTGGTCTCATGCCAGGATGATCCAGCACCTACATACCCTGCCCAGGTCCTGAAGCCTAATGGGTCTATGGGCTTAGCACCCTGTCTCCCTGTTCCCTAAAGATCTCTCCCCTCTCCTCCCACTTCCTCTCCCCCTTGTCACCATCCCTGCCCCTCCAATTGTCCCCCACCTCAGAAGACAAGCTTGGTACAGAGCCAGACCAGCCCAGGACAGGCTTGGGGGGCAGAGATGGGGTTTTGGAGGGGCTCAGACTGGGCCAAACACTGGATGAAAGGGGACCCCAGATTCAGGGTTTGTTTTAGAGGGAGTCAGGGCATGGTACAGAGCCCCAGAGGGAGCTCTGTGCTCTAAGGATTGCTCTCTGACAGCTCCCCTCCTGGGGCTCAAGGGGAGACTCATCTGCAGCAATCACCTAGAGAAAGCTGGGGTTACATATGGTGGCTGCAGACCCAAGCAAGGAGCAGGAGGTACAGACCCATATGCATGCTGCCACTCAAGAGCACACAAGACACTGTTCCACCTTCATGTGGCAAGACTTACAGGGAGGAGGCCCCAGCACCTGCCCAGTGAGGCCCTCTGTATGCACCCCAGTCTAGGACAGCAGCTGGGCTGCAGGGGCCTGGCCACCTCCCACATGCATGTACCCACTGCTGTCAGCCATTCACTCCACAGCCAAGACTGGTCCAGGCCCAACCCACACCCTTGTCCATTCACAGACTTGACCCTCTCTCTCCTATCTCTCATTTCTAGGAGCTGTGAACTCGCCCAGCAATACACCTCACCCACAAACACCCTATAAGAAATTCAGCCCAATGCAACTTTTCCTCATGGTCACTGACTACCATCCCCTGACACTGTAGGGCCTCAGTCTCTTCCCAGGTGAGAAGCTCCCTCTGGGAACAGATATAGACCCTATGCAGTCCTCATTCTGGGACCATGCCAGCTATGGCTGCCTCATGGCAGAGTATGGGGAGGCTAGGCAGCCACTCACAGTGCCACGGGACACAGCCCGAAGCTTGAAAGCCTCTGGGAACTCAGGACAACTTGCAAGGCTCCTGCCCTGACCCAAGCTGGAAACAGGGGCCAAAGAAACCAGCCTGTTAGTATGGGGTGACAGCCTTGGAGCCCAGAGGGCAGTAGGCAGCTTCCACGGGCAGCCCCACCTCCCAGACGGAAAACATTCTCCAGCCAGCGCGCCACACTAGCAACTGCACTGAGATGTGCTGGTCACACATCTAAGCTGCAGCACAGTCCACAAAGGGCCAAAGCCAATGCTGCTGTCCAGGAGTTGGGGCTAAAGAGGCCAGGGGAAGAAAAACTGGGGAGTGGAGGGGGATGTGACGATCGCTCCCAGAGCAGAGTGCAGCTCTTACTACTCAGCAATCTGTATGAGGTAGAACAGTGGACTCAGGGAAGGGACAGGAGCCACCACAGGAGCAAACCGCCCTTCACTACAACTTCCCATGGTTTGCTTGGCTTTTGTGTATGTCTATGTTCTTCTTTTAGCAAAAGACAAAGAAGTCAGGTTGTCTGCAGCCAACAAGCTGTTGGATATACAGTCCCCCAGACCCGATGTCTTGACAAGGACACATACAGACCACTCAGACATGGTGCAGAGTCACCCATACAGGCAGACACAGTCACATCTGCATGTGTACCTATAGGCACATACCATGCACACATACATAGGGTCAAGAACAAGATGCCCACGTGCACAGATAAGGGAGCCCAGGTCCACAGTAACCTGTGGACAAAAGCACAAATGCCCAGACCCCTGCAGCATGCAGGTACACACGTGCAGAGATATTCACATGCTCCTCAGCTGCCTGCTAGGAAGTTGCTAGGTGAGTGGATGCCAAGAACCTGGGGTGGGCTGCGGCAGGCATCACGGTACTGTGAGGGGAGCCCGATGAGCTCCACGTCAGCAAGTGGGAGCTGCCTTCCCGCCTGCCTCCCTCCCTCCCTCTGTCAGATGAGCAAGCACATCAGCACTGCCACAGGGCTGAGAGCCTTGCTGGAAGCCAGCTGGGGCTGAGGCAGCTGACGTCGGGGCAGGTCCTGGAAGCCCCTTCCCACCAGGGAGAACTGGCTGGGACCCCTGCCGCGCAGCTATCAGTTGGGTCTGCACCTCCACCCTCACATCTGTCTGCATTCTGCCACCACTAAGATCTCACCAAGGCCGCCAACTTCTAGCCAGAAGGCACCAGACAGGTTAGTGAAGACAGCAGCTGTGTGGGTGGGGGTCTGCAGTGGCACTAGGGTGGGCGAGAGCTCTAAGACACTGCAAGAAGGTACTTCAGACTCAGCAAAGGTAGAGATGTGCCTGGAAGGTGTGTTTGCAAAGGGAAGACAAACTCAACTCGACTTTGTATGCTGGGGGTAGCAGAATGGGGCCTCCCAGGAGGTTGGCTTGATTGCCTTCTAAGGAGGGGTCTTGGGAAGGGAGATTATCTGGTCCAACACACCTGCTTCCAAGAAGGCCAACTCCCAGGGCCATCACAGGACAGGGCTGCCATGGAGCACTTACCCATGGACTGGAATGGATAGAGTGACCCTATATGGCCAGGAAGAGTGGCCAAAACTTCTTCCACAGAACTTGAGGTGGCCACTCTTTCAGACTGTAATGCTTTTGGTTGTTTCCTTCCCAGAATCCAGCCCAAGGAAATCCCTGCCCAGATACCCACCTCCAAACCCTACACAATGCAGGCTTCTACACACCCGGAGCCACCCAAGAATGGAAGTGCCTCCTTCTTTCCCACCATGGGCGCCAACCTCTCCCAGGAAAATAGCACCCAGCCCAACATCACCTCCACCAAGCCTCTGTCTGCACTCTATGTGCTCCTGCCAGCTGTGTACTCTGTGATATGTGCCGTGGGGCTGACCGGGAACATGGCTGTCATCTACGTGATTCTGAGGGCCCCCAAGATGAAGACAGTAACAAATGTGTTCGTCTTGAACCTGGCTGTGGCTGATGGGCTCTTCATCTTGGTGCTGCCGGCCAATATCGCAGAGCATTTGCTGCAGCGCTGGCCCTTTGGGGAGCCTCTCTGCAAGCTGGTGCTGGCCATCGACCACTACAACATCTTCTCCAGCATCTACTTCCTGGCCGTGATGAGCGTGGACCGTTACTTGGTGGTGCTGGCCACTGTGCGATGCCGCCGTGTGCCCCGACGCACCCAGCGGGGAGCAAAGGTTGCTAGCCTGTGTGTATGGCTGTGCGTCACCCTCATGGTTCTGCCCTTCTTCTCCTTTGCTCATGTCTACAGCAATGAGCTGCAAGTGCCCAGCTGTGGGTTGAGCTTCCCACAGCCAGAGAGGGCCTGGTTCCAGGCCAGCCGCATCTACACGCTGGTGCTGGGCTTTGTACTTCCTGTGTGTGCTATCTGTGTGCTCTATGTGGATCTCCTACGCCGGCTGCGGGCCATGCGGCTCTACTCCGGTGCCAAGGCTCTGGGCAAGGCTAAGCGGAAGGTGACCATCCTGGTTCTCACCGTGCTGGCTGTGTGCCTCCTCTGCTGGACGCCTTTCCACCTGGCCTCTGTGGTGGCCCTAACCACAGACATGCCCCAGACATCCCTTGTTATTGGCATCTCTTATACCATCACCAGCCTCAGCTATATCAACTCATGTCTCAACCCCTTCTTGTATGCCTTCCTGGACGACAGCTTCCGCAAGAATTTCCGCACCTTGTTTCTGTGCCGAGGGGCCTGAGCACTGCCAGCCATTCCTTCCAGATCAGGGGACATCCTGTCTGTTCATATCACTTCCCTGTGTTCCCTACACAGACACAGACCCTGCAAAGTGTTACCTCCAAAAAGGACCACAATAGTGTGGTCCTGTCCTTATCTCTGCTTCATGGACACCTGTAAGGATTCAGATTCTGGTAGCAGGCACAGGGAGTTGGATCACCCAAAAAGGATGGACAGAGAGATGCTCCCCCAATGGTCCTTTTCATGTCCTCTATGGAACCCAGGACCCCTGAAAACAGAGATCTAGAAGGGAAAGGACCAAAACTGTGAGCTTGGCCTGGAGCCAGTGCTGTGTTCCACAATCAGGACCCACTGGGCTCCTTCAGACACGAGAGGGAGATGACAAAAGTGTGGGTACCTTGGAGAGCAAAGTCAAGCGTTGCTCATAAGGCTGAGATCATGAGTATCAAGTGAAGCCACAAAATGCACCAACAGCCTGAAAGGCGGTGACAGCTCACCAGGAGACCAGTGCCCTTGTATCCTACCTCATCACCCATGGCCCCTTCATATCCTGCTGTAGGACACAGGGCCCTTCTGCCAGGACCTCTCAGCCCCAATATGACTATGTTACGGACTGGCTGTCCCTTGGAGAAGCTGGCATCTGAAGCCCCCTCCAACCTGGGTGGGCCCGGGGTCTGGACTTAGCCAGCAGGAGCTAGAACTGTGGAATCAGGCAGTAGGTGCAGGCTGCTCAGAGTCCCCTGCTGCCCAGGGGGCCTGGGCATGGCTTCCACCTGTTCCACAATTACCACGTCCCTCTGGCCTCACCAAATGGTGAGTTACCATGTGGGTTTCAGACCTGGGCCCCTGACATGCAGGCTTAGCACTGGTTGCCACTAGGTGCCCAGGGCATGTGCCACTGGCCCCACTCCAGGCCTCTTGGGCATGTAGGCCTTTGCCTGAATCCAGAACAGCGCCAGCCCCCTACCCAGTGTCCCCTGCATATCTCCAGTCAACTTCAAACCACTCAGATGTCGCCTATGCCCAGCATTTCCTTGGCCCAGCACTGTGTTAGTCACCTATTGCTGTCTACAGGTTTCTTCAAAATTTAAGAGCTGCAAAATAATAAATGTTTTGGATGTGAGAGTCAGGAGCCTGGAAGAGGATTGGTCTCCCCTGAGATTTCAGTCAGGACACTGGCAAGGCACAGGTCCTCCTGTGGCTGCGCAGGGGCTAAGGATCACCTCCAAGCAGACTGACTCCTGGGGCTGTTACAGGCCAGGGGTGCTGTGAGGCTGTGCAAGTGTCCTCTCAGTGTGCCCCAGGGCAGGGATCACAGACATCCCAGCCTCTCACCACCCCTAGCACCCCATGTTGCTTCCCCATTGCTAAGCCCAGCCCACACTGAGGGGGCTGTGGGTGCTTTGAAATCACCACCCAGACCCACAGCTCTGCAGGTAGAACAAGCCACCCAGGGCCTGTTCCTTCCCGCAGTACAGTCACACCTCACAAACAGCCTAATTACCAGTCTGCTCACTGTTCCTGTACCCGCCAGCTCCTTCAGGTCGAGAGCCAGGGCTTGAAGCTGCCGCGTGGCAGAGCCAGGTGCATGGCATAAGAGTGTGTGAGGAAGGAGGGGAAGATGAGAAGAACAGGAGGCAGAGATGCACTGGGGAGTGTGCCAGGCTTGGAGGCTAAGGTGCCCTTGGGCTGGGCTGGGCCCCCCACCGTGCCCCCATTTATCTTTGGGCCTCAGCAGGCCATCTCCACCGCAGAGCAGGTGCCCACCAAGTTTCCTCTGAAGACCCCAGGCCCTTGATTCCCTGGGAGCACCATAGGGGATCAAGACGTACCACCAGGCCCAGAGCAAGGAAGGACGAAGGAAGAGGTACTTCTCAGCGAGGTCCTGTACTGAGCTCCTGATATCGAGGGGCCACCCTGAGAACCTCACCCTGCCAAGCCCCCAGGCTTTGGCTCTTGGCCTGGCTTCAGTACTCAAATTTCACTACCATAGCAACCGCCACCCGCCGCCCCTTGCCAGAGCCAGCTGAGCCTCATGTGGAGCCATAGTGCCCCCTGGTGGGCAGAGTCCAAAGCAGCCCCCAGCCACGCTGTCCGGACGTCTCTCTGGGCCTTGACCACCACTCCAGGCCCGCTCTAGGCCTTCCTCTAACCCCCTGAAGAAGGCTCTATAGTCCTTGGCACAGGGAAGGAAATTGAGGCTTGGAGAAGCCAGTCTTGACCAGGCCCAACAGCGGATAGGCGCAGAGATGCAGGGAGGGGTGCCAGGGGCCAAGGAAGGGGCTAGAAAGAGAGGGGCTCAGGAAGGGGGCCTGTCCTGGAAGGCCAGGGAGGTGCAGCCTCTTCTAATTCCCCTACCTTTATGGCAAAGGGTGTGGGCCCCAGACATACCCCCAAGACAGGAGGGCCTACTGCCCAGGACCCCACTTGGGTGCCATCTCCACAAGAACCACACCATCTTCTGGGCACCAAGGAACTATAACTGCCCTAGTGGAGCCTATTCCTCCCAAATTTTCCCTTGATGGTGAATTTTTTTTGAATAGCAATGTGTCTATTAAGGACTATTTGTCCCCCCCCCAAAAAAAACAAATTCATACACTGAAGTACTAACCCCTGACCCATAACACTGGGAGGTAGCATTGGGAGGCAAATCTTTGGGAGATGAGCAGGTTGTGAGGTATCAGTTCCACGGAGGAATCAGCAGCCTCATTCAAAAGGTACCCGAGGCTCTGGAGCCCCTTTCTACCAGAAGACAGAGGGAAAGACAGCTGTCACCAGAACTGAGGGCAAAAGCTCCCTGCACTGGGGCTTTCCGCCTGCAGAACCATTCAAAATCACCACTGGTCATTACTAAACTGCCAGTCTAAAGTGCCTTATTATGGCAGCCCAAGCTAGCAATTCATCATTAAAACGTGTGTAAGCACTAGCCCCCTGCCTTGCCTGAAACCAGTCCTCTGACCCAAGCCACACCCTACCACACTCTCCAAAGCCCCTCTGTTAGTGTCATCTGCCTGGGGGCCATCCTGAGCTGAACTGGGCCCACACAGGAGCCAAGAGGCAGATTCCTGTGGCACAAGTTGGCCTGCCTACCAAGATAAGTCACTGTCTTCATGCATCACCAAAACTCCAGTCAGATCTGCTTGAGGAAGGGGAAATGAACAGGGGTGGGATCTGCAGAGGTGAAATGGGTAAAGGGAGCCCTGCTGCATGGGAGGGGCACCACCCCAGTAACTGGCAGGGAGAGGTGGCACTCAGTTGTGTAAGGAAAAACTGGGCTAAAGGGAAAATGGTACCCCTGCAACACACCATGAGCTACCTTCCTTCTCACCACATCTGTACCTCGCAGCGGCTACTCTGCCAAGTACAAAGCCAGCCTGTGAGATGCACAGAGCAGGCAAGAGGACAGTGGCTTGGGCTGTATAGCCCCCTCCCCCCAACATGCCAACCCAAGACATTGCCACAGCAGCCAGCCAGTCCCCACATTGCCAGGGCCAGGATCACCTTCTAAGGAAAGGGGCCGGTGAGTCAGCAAGTGTTTATTATGGTCCTCCTTCATCACCCAAGAAACAGGTTCAGGACTGGCTACATGCATGGGAAATGACACGCATCACATGCATAAATATATAAATAGACATGTTATACCAGCACAAATTCACAAAGTTTTCACTCTTGGCAAAAAAACACTGCAGCTAGGCTGCTTCTGCCACAGCCATCACAGAGAGCATCCCACCCTCCTCAGGCATAAACCCTGTGGCCAGGGCTCTGAGATGGAAGCCTGACTCAGGTCCATGTCTCTTGAGGTCCCCTGACCAAGACTGCAGTGGAAAAATAGTCTTTCCAATGTTGCAGGTACTTCAATAGTTCATCTGCAGGAAGAGCATTTGCAAAGCTGTGATGATTTTCTAGGTGACCACAGCAGGGAGTCCCCAAGGTACAGAGTCTTTGCAGCTTGGCTCAAGTAAGCCTTGCCAAACTCCACCTCTCACACCAGCTGGGCACGTAAAGCCAACCTCTGATTTGGGAGCAAGCTCAGGCCTTACCCAGAGGCTGGCAAATGAAGTAGACAGTCACTGGGAGTATGAAAAGAACACATCTCCACTGCCACCTTTCCCAAGATACCAGGTCTTCCGGCTGTATCACTGTTGCCCCCTGGCTTCAAGCAGAACAGAGACGAGAGAGGCTCTGAGAGAGTGAGGCTCTGGGAGATCATGAGAACTTCTGGAGAAATCATGTTCCCCTACCCTGCCCTGAACAAGCAGGCACACGAAGCTTCTGTTTTGTGAGCAACAGAGCAACCTAAGGTGGTCACCTGGCACCTTCCTCCTCAGGCACCCTCTGCTTCTCAAGAACCAGAGCTCACTACATGGTCTATGCATGATAGTTCTTCACACTTCCGGGGATTACAGGCTCCAGGGGCCGAGCATCCTGTGGGTTCCTGAAGGGACGAAGTCAGGCCCAGGGCAGAGCCAAGGTCAGGCAAAACAGGCAGCAGCTGAGTGGCAGGTCCACATCCACAGGCTACATGATGCAGAAGAAACAGAACTTTCAGAAAGCATTGGGCCCAGGACCCACCTGTGGCCTCAGCTGGGGACTATGTGTAACCTTAGTAGGGTATCCCTGGCTGCACAGGTAAAGTCGGAACAAGCAGGTGCTCTAGGGGGCAGCTCCAGCTCAGGGACAGTGCTGCCCCCAAAGAAATGCTGCCCACTATGCTCCTGGACAGTGAGCATAGCCTGTCTGGCTGCCCTACGGAGACATGCAAAGCTGAGGGCAGCTGGTGCCCTGCCATGCAGACCACATGCAGCACAGACTGTACACACAGCTGCACAGCTGCCGTTACACCTCTGGCAGGAGCCACTGAAAGTGCAAAGCTCAGCTGGCTGGGATAGAAGATGCAGAAGTCAGGTGAAGCAGTGTGAATGCAGGCCCCAGGCAGGTGCATCCACTGAGTGCACAGAGACTGCAATGGGTGCTTCCAGGCAGTGTTCTTACACCCTCTCTGCCCTTGACTCAGGGCGGCAGCTTTAGTCCTACAGAGGCCACACAGGCAGCCCTAATGCTTTGACCTGTCCCATGGTGCACAAGGTCCTCCTCCAGAACTGAGTATCCCTGGGCCAAGTGGAAAACTATCCAAGGCTTCAGAAGCTCAAGCTCAGGTGTCAGTCTAAAGAGCAGTGACTTGTGTGAGCTCCGTGTTCGGAGTAGACGGGCTCTGCGGGCTGACAGGCACCATGGGCAGGTCCACGCCTAGTCATGCGGGCCGTGGTACTGTCTCAGTGGTCTTACAGCCAAGGGCCACATCCTTGGCAATGCTGCGCACACGGTCAGACACCTGCATCTCCCGGTGCAGGGCAGATGCACAGCAGAACTTTCGGAAGCAGGCCTTGAAGTTCTCATCCAAGAAGGCGTAGAGAATGGGGTTGAGACAGCTGTTGACATATCCCAGGGCTGTGCAGAAGCGCAGAATGGCCACAGTGGTCTCGCTGCCTGGCTGAACACCCAGACCTTGGACCAGAACAAAGACCTGCACAGGTGTCCAGCAGCCCACGAACACAGCCACCACCACGAGCACCAGCCGTGTGATGCGCCGCAGGTTCCGATCCTTCTCTCGAGAGCCTGAGAGCAGGCGGACACCACGGAGCCGCCGGATCATGAGGCTATAGCAGACAGAAATGATGAGGACAGGAATAATAAAGGAGAAGAGGAAGATGCAAACAGCAAACACAGGACCCCAGTAGTCCTGAGGGGCCGGGATCTCCACCAGACACTCGATTTCTGCAGGGAGAAAAATGGGGTCAGGAGAGCCACTCGGAGGCATAGGAGCCTGGTAGAAGGAGGAGCCCCACCCCACTGACCTTCATCCTCCACCTGTGCTGAGCCCATGATGGCAACGGGAACACCAACCACAGAGGCCAGGGCCCAGATGGCCACGTTGACAGCTTGGGCTTTGCTGGATGTCCGGACGTCAAGAGCACGGATTGGGTGGCAGATGGCTACATAGCGGTCCACACTCATGGCGGTTAGCGTGAAGGTGCTGGTAAACATGTTGTAATAGTCTATAGCAATGACTGTCTTGCACAGAGCATTCCCAAATGGCCAGAAGCCCAGCAGGATATCTGTGCCCTGGAAGGGCAGTGTGAGCAGGACCAGAGTATCTGCCAGGGCCAGATTAAAGATGTAAATATTGGTAGCTGTCTTCATCTTGGTGTGCCTGCAAAGAAGACAGAGACAAGAACGATTTCATTTGTCCACTCTGAATGAACAAAGTAGTAAAAGGCAAGAAGCTCATTTTGTTGGCCACCACAAAGAACACCAGCCCTGAGTCTCTGAACGTCAAAGCCCCAAGGGAGCTTGTTAAATGGCAGAATCCTGGACCCAGCCCTAGGCCGACCGAGCAAGTCATGCTAGATGCAGCCTGGGGGCAAAGGTTTGAACAAACTCATCAAGGGACCCTCACACATACAAAAGGGTTCCACGCCTTAAACACTGATCTGCTTTGGAAATGCCAGGCCATGTGGAGTACCAGAGCATGCATTTGACTGTAAAAGAGCAAAGGGGTAGGAATCACAAGAGAATGAACCTGCCCTCCTCCTCAAGTCTCCCTCAAGACATCGCACAGACTCACCTGCTGGCCCTGTGGCTGCCAGGGTTTCCAACAGCCCCAAAGCCTATAAAAGCTTAACACAGGCTTCCTACTCTACACTGCTATCCAGGGCAGTGACAGGGTCTGACTATATTCAAGCACCTGGAACAGGGTTAGAAAACTGCAAGTGGTTAAAAAGTATGTGTGGTGGAAGCAGTCGCAGTACCAGAGATGACCATTTTTCGTTTATTTTGCTTTTTGAAACAGAATCCTGCTATGCAGTCCTAGCTGGCCTTGAACTCATAATCGTGTTGCCTCAGCTGAGATTACAATTGTGTCAGAGATGACAATATTCCATGTCAATTTAGTTGCCATAAAGGCATCTGAGGTTCAGTTTTATCTTTTTAAAGAGAAATTAAGAATAAGCCCAGGGGCTGGAGATTTAGCTCAGTGGCACAGTGCTTGCCTGGCAAGCACAAGGTCATGAGTTTGATTCCAGGTACCGTAAAAAAAAGCAAAACAAACCAAAAAAAAAAAAGAATAAGCCCAAAAGCCTGAACTGCAACTAAGTGACAATAGTGGCAATGACAATGGCAGAGAGCCATGCCACTCTCTTCCCATGGGTTTTACCTCGTTTGATATCCCTAAGTGCTATTTTGACCCTCACTCTATGAAGGTGGAAACTGGGGCTCAGAAGATCTAAGTATCTTTTTTTTTGTTGTTCTGTTTTGGTTTTTGTGTGGTTCCTTGAGACAGGGCTTGCTATGAAATTCAGGCTGCTATTGAACTCACTTATGTAGCCCAGGCTGACATCAAACTCACTATAATCCTCCTGCCTCAGCCTCCCAATTATTGGGATTACAGACAGGTGCCACCACACCCACTTCAAGTAGCCTTAGAGTTGGTAAAAAGCAAGAGTGAGGCTCAGAAGCAGATGCTTCCAATTTCTAGCAACCACCAAAGTCCACTGGCTCAAAATACATTGTGCTGCCTCCTGAGCCAGCGTGCCCATGGCAGTTCCTGAGCATCACTCTCTGGGGACACTGGGGGTCAAGATGGCCTTTCTTGCTTACCCCAGTCCAAGAAGTAGCTCTGAGAGTTTCAATGTTCCAGAGCATAAGAGAGACACAGGAGAAAAGCTCCTGTCATAGGAGGGACAGTAACTGCACATGGCTGGTCCATGGCACATCCTCCAGCCAAGAAGGGAGGGTTTGAGAACAGTCTCTCTAGGACCCTGGAGGGCAGTGCTGGGGGTCACAGCTGCTCTTCCTAGCACCTTGTCTGGCCAGTGTATACACCACATACATATGTATACATGGTTATATGATCCACTTTCCTAACTTTCCAGATGAGGAAAACAGGGCCACTGGGGAACAGAGTTTGCTCAGGGATACCTGAGGATGGCAGTAGTGTATACCCCTGGGGGTCTACAAGGTCATAAGGGGAACCACTGCTACCGAGTCCTGAGCACTTGTTCAGGTCACATCTGAGTTAGGAAAATGTCCTGGATTAAGAAGAAACCCAACCTGGCTGTGTCATTTTCCTGCTCAAGTGTTTCCCATGGCTCCCTAATGTCTGAAGAATTAAGTCTCCCCTGTTTGGCAGCAGACTCTGTCTGCTATCCCTAATCCCCTTCAATTCCCTCCTACCTGCAAGAACACAGGGTTCATCATGTCCTTTGCCCAGGAATCCTTCCCCTTTTGCCCACATCAAAGCTCCTTGCCCAGTCCAGCACTGTACTCCATGCAGCCCCACACTGTCTGCCACAGTACACCCCATAGTGTCCCTCATGGTACACTCCACAATCTCACCATGATGCTTCCCACAATTCCTCCCACTCTGTCCCCACCACCCCAACTGCCCAGTGCCAGCTTCCCATCTGAGCACCAGCTCACGGGCTCAGCCACAGCTGACTACCATGAGTAGGAAGCCCTGCAGCCAGAAAGAAGGAGCTTTGGGTTCATCGTAGTGTCCATCTTTGTGCCACCCTTTGCCCATCTGAGAAAACAGGTCACGAGAGCCATCTCTTCGGGGTCACTGTGGGATCTCATGAGGCTATTAACACCATCAGCTGGCACGGAGCCTGCCTGTGGTTTAAACCAAGGCTCAGGGTGACAGACAAGCAGAGAAGATGACCTTCCAGGACCTCAGAGTTGACTCTGCCCCCAGGACAGGGAAGAAAGGAATTTAATGGGGGAAAGCAGGAAATCTCCACTTGTTCAAATCCAACTACAACAGCTTCCTGCCTCAGTTTCCCCCTCCACAGCTATGTGGGACTCACAGGGACTTTTGTGGGGTCCAGCCTACCTGAGGATGACGTACATGACGAGGCAGTTTCCCAGCAGCCCCCCGACGCACACGGCCAGGTAAAGCCCCACGATGGTGACCTTGAGCCCAAGAGGCAGGAAGGCACTGTGGCTGGCATTGAGCAGCAGATGGGGGGGCAGCACACTGTGGTTGGGGCTCAGAAGGGACAGGTTGCCCTGAAGGTGACTGCCGTAGAGGACCTCCCAGAATGGGGCAGGGAAGAGAGACTCCATACTGTCACTCTGCAAAGCCACTCAGCACAGAACCTGACACAGGGCACAGAAACAAGTGACTATGACCACAGTACTGGACCACACCTGCCCAGTGCTCAGAGCATAGCCCAGAGTGCAGCCCAGTAGTACTGGGACCCCCCCCCCATGGGCACCTGTACACAAGCACTCATGCACTCATGTAAGGACACAGGCACACATGCACACACACAAAGACACATACAGACAGGAGGGCATGTGCACATACAGGGATTCAGGAAACACGGACATACATGCACCCAGCTGGACACCTCACGTCACATCTACAGACTCACACATGGACTGTGCAGACATGGTTACACAAGGATGCGCATCCACCCACTGAGACTCAAGGACACATAGCCACCGGGTGTTCACAGAAGCAGGGATGCACACATGTCAACACAAAAATGTCCAAAATACCCTCAGGCACACCCAGGCACAAGACAGCCTGAGATAAGCTCAGATGTGCCTGGGGCACAGGCAGCTAGGCACAGCTTTCTCCTGCCCCTCCCAGCCCTGCTGAACAGCCTAGCCACACCCGCAGTAGCAGCAGGACCTCCCCTTACCTCCTGCAGCGTAGACCCTCACCTCCAAAATGTCCTCGGGGCAGTAGGACTGAGACTCTAACCCTCAGCAGGAAGGACAGAAGGGTAGCTGTGGAACAGGGCTGGCCAGCCCAGCGCAGGGTTGCGATGGAGCTGTGGCGGCTGCTCCTTCTCAGCAAACGACAGACTAGACGCAGCAGCAGCAGCAGCAGCAGCAGCAGCAAGTGCGGCAGCCAGGAGCTGGGGGCAGGGAAGAGGCTACAGCTCCGAGCGGGAGGGGCTGTGCAGGCTAGAGGAGGGGGTCCTCAGGAGGGAGGATCACCCAACGAGGCCACCTGGCCCCACGCAGATGAGACACACACAAGATCGGGGCACATGAAAAATATGAACTCAAACACCCCAGACAAAGACACCCATTGGCTAGGACATATGACAGAGATGTCCACAGACTCATAAACACAGAATTGGAGACACACACAGGAACTCAGACACACACACACACACACACACACACACACACAGGTCACAGACTCAGACACAGGGACTAGACTCAGGGAAATGCACAGAGATGTGCTCACTCAGAGGCAGATGTAGGACCTCTATATACACAGACACAGCTTTGGAGAATCTATACCAGTCCACCTGTTTTGGACTTCCCAGTCCACAACTGACCCCTCAGCCAGGCCCCCAGAGTAGCCAAGTCACAGCAGGTGAACAGATGATGGTGCCCTGGCCTGGCCAGCTCTCAGAAGGTCAGAGTCTTGTAAACAAGTAAGAGGGTGCCTGGGCCCAGGACCCAGTACTGCTGCCATACCTATTTTGTGCTGCTTGAGCCTACTCTGAACACAAAACTGCAGCAATCTGAAGCCACCTGTCAACAGAGGAGTAAAAGCCACACCAAGGGCACCTCTACAAGGAGGGGCCTCAGAGATGAGCCCTAATAATACTAATAAGCCCTCATAACACTAATAATGTGCTCCTTCAGGTGGACCTGCTATTTGCCAGCAAGAAGGTTACAAGTACAGTTCACTAAGATGAAAGATCACAGGTTAAAGCCATGTGGGTGACCCCTGCATTGGTTTCCAGACCCCACCTGGTTGTGGCGTTCTTTTTGCAGAAGCTGTGACAGAGAGCCAGACCTCCCCCATCAGCCAGACCCTGATCCTTCAAGGATGGGAACCTGGTTGCTAGGCAACTGGCAACAGTGTTGCTAAGATACCTGTAAAATCAGGAAAGGCTGGAGCAGGCTGATGCCCAGGACTCAGCATCCTAAGCTGTCCCTCAGGACTTGTCTCTGCATCTCCACTGAAGCTAAGACTCAGAGGGACACATGGTCACTTAGGAGACACAGTCCTTTAAATATACACAGACACAGGCTTAACTCAGAGATGCAGGCCCATGTTCAGGGATACACACAGGGGCCACACACACAAATAAACTCATGACAAGGTGCACGAAGGAACATGAGTAGACACAAGAGAGAGCAGTTGTGGAGGATTAACTAATGGTCAACTTGGAATGCCCA